AAAAGTACCGATAGACGTGAAACTCATTAATATTCACGAGGAGGTGGAGACGGTTGGTGAGAGGGTTAGGGGGAGACGGGAGGAAGAGGAAGAAGAGGATCGTGTATCGTTTCGGTATGTTCCTCATCATACTGGCCCACATACACTACGCATTACCATATTAGGAGAGCCGGTGAGGGGGAGTCCCTTTAAACTCAGCATCAAGGCTCCACTCAAATTAAGGTTTCTCGTCAAATCAGTTGTACCCTCATTTTATAAACCAGGAGGTGTGGCTATTGGTCCCAATGGCGAGCTTGCACTAATAGACACAGAAGGATGGAAGACCATTTATCTATACAATAATCAGTTAGAGCCTATACTGACTACTGGTGACTGGGGCAGCGGCCCTGGTCAGTGCTATAGACCCATTGGTGTAGCTTTTGATTCATCAAGTAACCTCCTGGTAGTAGACGGGGACAATCACAGGGTTAATAAATACGACCGTACAGGTACTTTCATAATGTCCGTGGGACAGAAAGGTAACAAAGAGTTGGAGTTCCTGCGTCCAACTGGTATAGGTGTCAATAAAGCTGGTTACGTGTATGTTTGCGATCGTGCTAATCATCGAATTCAAATATTAAAACCTAATCTCACATTTGACTCAATGTTTGGAGGCTATGGAGAGGAGACTGGATATTTGCACTACCCGTGGGACGTCGCCTTTGACTCTGAGGGCATGGTCTATGCAACAGTCCCTGGCCAATATTCCATAAAGAAGTTTTCTCCAAACGGAGTCTATCACTCGACAGTTGTCGATAAGAATACTCGGGGATTTAAAGAAGGAGAACCCAAATGTCTTGAGATGTTATTTATTGATGAACAAGATTACATGTACGTGACTGATCGCGAGTGTCACTGTGTCTTTGTATTTGATACAGGTGGTAGGTTTTATGCTCGTGTTGGTAACTATGGGTCAGCTGAGGGTCAGTTTTATTACCCAAGAGGCGTGGCTAAAGGAGAAGAAGGCCTGTATGTTAGTGAAGCTGGAAATAAAAGGTTACAATTGTTTGGATAAAATGGAGAAAAGAGGGAGAGACATTTTGAACTAAAAAAGAATTACTAAAAACCACTCAATCTTGATTATAGTGTATATGATTATTATATTGTTGTTTTTATTAAATTTTTCGTTCAAAAATTAGCAGAAGTGCTGAACAGATTCACATAAGCAGCTGCCAATGTATGAATCATCTTATACTGTCCCTGGAAAAGATAGAGAAAATAAACCAATTATCAAGAAGAATCACGCTACTTTATTCTGAACAGCTCCGGGTAAATTAACTCTCATATTCTTCACAGTTTGAAACACATCAACAACACTGCTGGACTTCATCTGATCAACGGTTGCCATGGCAGCACAAAACACGGCCGAACGACCAATCATATTACTAGAAAATAGTGAGCGATGACATCACATGACATCACATGACATCATCATACCTGCAGTGCATGAGGACTGGAGTATTTGGACTCTTTCTCTGTAGTGTCTTAACTAAATTCATAGTATTAATGATAGCACCTTCGTTACAGGAAGTGATGTCATCATTGCTCCACCCATCAACTTGAAAATGAGCCAATCTCCGTAGCATATTATTCTAAAATAAAGATCAATATATATCATTATTATTATTATTATCATCATTACTTTGTTATTTCTGACGAGGAGTAGCTTCCTAGAGAAGGACTGATGTCCCCATTCCTCTCTCACTGATATTGTAAACTCGCCGAACTCAATTGTGCCCTCCTTAGGCCAATACTGTGCACAAGCCTCCTGTTACAATAAATAAATAATAATAATAATAATAATAATAATAATAATAATGAATAATGAATAATACTTAAGTGCAATATGGAAAACGGTTAAAGGAAAAGATTGAACACCACAAACTGGAACACTACTATGTTTTCATAATTTTTCATGTACAGGTACATAAGTTAGTTCTTCTTTCATAATAGTATTCATAATTATTGTCTCACCTCTTCTCCCTCCATTATTGGTGAGAGCATAACAATTGTTGTGATTTCTCTGTCAAATATCATCTTCCAAAAGTCCCGTCTTGTCTCTCTAAGAGGAGACTGAGCTATTATGAAACCTTTGTCATTCTTATAACTCTGAGAAGAAAGAAAAATGACATATAAATTAATAATAAGTACCGGTATGAAAACAGCATTGATGTAATCTGGTGATTCTGACTTCAAGTGAACTCTCCATTGATCAGCTACAATTAATAATAATAATAATAATAATAATAATGATGATGATGATGATGATGATACAATGATACATGTAGTAGATGTAATTACTTGGTAATATTTCTTGATATCTGTTCTTCCTTGGATTTTGTCTTGCAACATCACAGACAGCATCTTGTGGAGGAACAGAAACTTGCTCTAGGACCTTCAAAAAGAAAGAGAGATGATTGTAACTATCATAACATTTATCATCTCACATTAAACTGAGCTTCAAATCCAGTCACAGAGGCATTATCACTTGACGACAGAGAGGAGATGGTACTTTGCAAATCACAAGCAGCAATCTGAGTATCACCACACAGTGCTTGCTCCAGCACAGCTTCATGGACCAACATATACTGGTCCTATTACAATAATATAATAAATACATGTACATATATTGCTGGAGTGAGTCATTTATTTATAGTATAGTGTGTACCAGTGTTTGAATCATCATCATTCTTTGTTCTCTCATTATTGTCACTACTGCTGGTATATCAATAATGGATTCAGTCAGTGCATCTTTAATGGAGCAACTCATGCCAATAAAAGCACCTGTTCGCCCTCCACCAGTACTATATAAAGAACATAAATTGATTGGTTGTAGCATTTTAAAAAATATAGTTTCTAGAAAGTTTTACCTGCAGTGTACTACGATTGGTCCCTTCTTGTGTTCAGTTTGGTTTGAGATTATTTTATTAAATTTTACCAAAGAATTAATAGGAGGCTGTGGCCCATACTCCAGCCAATCAATGAACTGATAATGAGTGATCAACAAAGTCGACTGAGCTGAACTGTAATACTAGAAACATGTAGCAAGAAAAGGAGGAGAAAACACAGCATGTAATTTCTATCAAAAGTATCTTTCTCCTACTTCTTTCTTGTTTGGGTCAATTCTTCCTGTGGGGTTCACAATCTTAGATCTCAAATTCCCCATCATTGTATTATACTGTCATTAAAATTAATGTAACTATTAATAACTAATGCCCCACCCACTCACGTGTAGTGTCAATTCCCTGATGATGAAGGAGTTGCTGGTTGTTTCTTTTTGGAGGGTCACAGTGAAGGGGCCATAGTCCTCGGAACCCCTGGAGGGCCAATATTGACTGCATTTAATCCTCAAATCCTCCTGTTATCAATAATTATTAGTTAAATATTTTTAATAAAATTTGAATTGTACTTGAAGTTTAGTTAGCATGACTATGGCACATGCTTTCTCTTGCCAGACCATCCGCCAAAAATCAACCACAGTTCTATCCAAAGGACCTATTGGCGGGGTAGGAAGTGGGAGGGGCAATGGGTGGAGCACAAACGAGTAAAAAATCATTATCATTATTGTGGAGAATTATTATTATTATCACTTTTCATTACCTTGTGTTGCAATGTATTTCTGACCCTGTTCATCATCTTTATTAACCTGTCAATTAATTAATAATTAATTAATCAATTAATTAATAAGTCTTACCATTATGTATGAGGCGTTTACGTAAGTATGCTGACAGTCAAGAAACCTTGGTAACGGCTCCAACTCAATTATATTGACATCGTCTATCAATAATAATAATAATAATAATAATAATAACAATAATAAAATAATAATAATAATGATGATCATAATAATAATTCTTCATTACATGGCACTATATTCTGGTTTCTGTTGAATGGTTTGTTTTCGTCGGATGATGCAATATCAGTTGGTAAATCAGGAACACCCAACCTCTGTAATAAAATATAATCAGTAAAAATTCTATCCTAATAGTCATTTACAATATGCATCAGAAAATTTAATAAAAGTTTGGGGTGATTTTTTAGCCATTTTTTTGAAAAAACCATGGGCTATAGCCTTGGGTATTTTTTAGAATTTTGATGTTTTCTTAAAATGTCCGTAACTTGAAAAATTGAAGTCGGAATCAGCTCAAACTTGCTACGCAGCATAACGACATCAATATGTATCAGAAAATGTAATAAAAATTTGAGGTGATTTCGGAGCCATTTTTTGAAAAAAACCATGGGCTATAGCCTTGGGTATTTTTCAGAATTTTGACGTTTTCTTAAAATGGCCGTAACTTGAAAAATTGAAGTCGGAATCAGTTCAAACTTGCTACACAGCATAAGGACATCAATATGTATCAGAAAACGTAATAAAAATGGGGGGTGATTTCGGAGCCATTTTTTGAAAAAAACCATGGGCTATAGCCTTGGGTAATTTTCAAAAATTTGACATTTTCTTGAAATGGCTGTAACTTGAAAAATTGAAGTCGGAATCAGTTCAAACTTGCTACACAGCATAAGGATATCAATATGTATCAGAAAACGTAATAAAAATGGGGGGTGATTTCGGAGCCATTTTTTGAAAAAAAACCATGGGCTATAGCCTTGGGTAATTTTCAAAAATTTGACATTTTCTTAAAATGGCCGTAACTTGAAAAATTGAAGTCGGAATCAGTTCAAACTTGCTACACAGCATAAGGACATCAATATGTATCAGAAAATGCAATAAAAATCTGGGGTGATTTCGAGCACATTTTTTGGAAAAAACCATGGGCTATAGCCTTGGGTATTTTTCAGAATTTTGACGTTTTCTTAAAATGGCCGTAACTTGAAAAATTGAAGTCGGAATTACCTCAAACTTTGTACACAGCATAAGGACATCAATATGTATCAGAAAATGTAATAAAAGTTTGGGATGATTTCGGATCCATTTTTTGGAAAAAAACCATGGGCTATAGCCTTGGGTAATTTTCAAAAATTTGACATTTTCTTAAAATGGCCGTAACTTGAAAAATTGAAGTCGGAATCAGTTCAAACTTGCTACACAGCATAAGGATATCAATATGTATCAGAAAACGTAATAAAAATGGGGGGTGATTTCGGAGCCATTTTTTGAAAAAAAACCATGGGCTATAGCCTTGGGTAATTTTCAAAAATTTGACATTTTCTTAAAATGGCCGTAACTTGAAAAATTGAAGTCGGAATCAGTTCAAACTTGCTACACAACATAAGGACATCAATATGTATCAGAAAATGCAATAAAAATTTGGGGTGATTTTGAGCACATTTTTTGGAAAAAACCATGGGCTATAGCCTTGAGTATTTTCAGAATTTTGACGTTTTCTTAAAATGGCCGTAACTTGAAAAATTGAAGTCGGAATTACCTCAAACTTTGTACACAGCATAAGGACATCAATATGTATCAGAAAATGTAATAAAAATTGGGGGTAATTTGGAGCCATTTTTTGAAAAAAAACCATGGGGTATAACCTTAGGTACTTTTCAAAAATTGATTGGTTAGTCATATGGATATAACATTGATATAATACCTTGAATTGCTCTCTGAACAACTTATTGTTATTATTACGGAGATTATTCACATATTGCCCGAACTCCTCCAGTGGTATCCTAACAGAAGAAATAACTCCTTCTTTAAGAGGAGCCATTAGATCAGTCTCTGGATATACAGTGAGTACAATGGACACTGACTCTGAGCCGTTGTCATTACTGCCAGTCACTTCATATTCACCAGAATGAGCCACCTCTACATAAGGAAACACAATTGCTCCATTTTTCAGCATAAAAGAGCAATTCTCCCAATCAATCTCCTCCCCGTCTTGTTTCCATGACAATTTGGGCGTCGGGTCACCGTGGAAACGAACTTTCAACACGACTTCTTGTCCTTCGATAGCGTGGACTTCAGTCGGTGGTTTACCAATTATCGATGGGCGATTAGAAGTGGGTGTGGTCTCAGAATAATCAGAAGAATCCAGCGGAACTAAGAGGTAACCTTCCTCACCTTTTACGGCAAAACGTGGGCCGATACTCCGACTGGTGGAATGGGAATGGAAACATGAGAATGGGATCATCATTGTACATTAACCTACTTCAATAGTGTTAATAATATCACAGTTAGCGTTATCATGAATACTAGCAGAAGCAAACCGCCCACAATACTGCCAGTAATGATCATTATCAATCTGAAATTACCTGAAAATGAGATGTATTTTAAAACATACACAAAACATGCAGTTAAATGTACATGTACATTGTATCATAGAACACAAAACTTTTGATGTCTCTAAATTTTAAATCAAGCCAAATTCTACCATATTTTTAAATTTAATTTTAGCAAAAATCCATATTTAGCTATCTTTAAAAATTGATTTTTAGGGATTTGAGTTTCATAAGTCCTTCAAAAAATTCTCAGCCTGTAAAAATATAAGACTATACACTTACTGTGTTGGGTGAATGTGAATGATACTACTGGTGAGATAGGCCCCTCCACTGTACCATTTTCAGTAGTATAAACAGCAGCTGCTATTGCAAATGTGTAAGTAGCTGAATTATCCAAACCAGTTAATACAACAAATGAAGATTGATGACCAGTTATATTCATTGAAGAGGTTTCACCTGTAATTAATTAGTGAATTAATCAATATTAATAAAAATAATAAACTAATATTATAATAAATTAATATTAATCAATTAATTAATATTAATCAATTAATTAATATTATCAATCAATTACTTAATTAATATTAATAAATAATAAAATAATAATAATTACCAGGAGAGTTGTCCGTGCTTGAATTATAGTATAGCACATACTGAGTGACGTCTCTGTTAGCAGTAGGGGTCCACGTTACATTAACAGAAGTTGAATTGACTTCACTGACTTCATTTAAATCAATTGATACTAT